GCGTAAGTTGCATCACTCGACACTTACTATGATAATTAAACTTCTCCTGCATATCTAACTCCTTCAATTTCCTTGTGAGATATTCCATCACTAGCACAAATAGATAAGGCGAGATTGGATCACCTTGTCGAAGCCCTCGTTTCCCCTGAAAATAACCCTTTGGCTGTCCGTTTATCAATACAAAGAATCTGGTAGTAGACACACAAAGCATAAGCCAGTTAATAAATCTATCATGAAAGTTTAGCCCTCTTAACATTGCAATAACAAACCCCCAATCCACTGAATCATATGCTTTTTGTAGATCAATTTTCATTAAGCATCTAGCTGGCCCCTTACTTCTATGGTAGTTCCTCACCAGATCTTGGCAAATCAATAAATTTGGTGTTATAGATCTGCCCTTCACAAATGTAGTTTGATTATTGCTAACCAGCATGCTCAGCACTTCATTAATCCTCTGGGTTAAGAGCTTCGATATCACTTTGTAGATGACATTACAACAAGCTATTGGCCTATAATCACTAACAACATTTGGGCAACTCACCTTCGGAACAATAGTGATATTGGTGGCATTAATTTGCTTGAGGATTTTCCCACTGTCAAAGAAATCCAACACAGCAGCAGTGACATCATTTTTAATTATTGACTAGGCTGCTCTATAGAACCCTGAAGTGAATCCATCAGGCTCTGGTGATTTGTTAGAAGGAATTGAAAATAGGGCAGTTTCCACTTCCTTAGCAGTAAATGGCCTACATAACTCTTCTGACTCTTTAGTGGTTAACACTCTGCCCCTGCGGATAACATTCATATCAATTGCTTGAACACCTTCTTTTGCCTTTCCAAACAAGTTTTGATAAAAGATTAAAAACTCTTGTTCTATAAGTTCAGGCTGAGTCACTCTAACTCCTTCACTGCTCAGGATGGAGTTAATAACACTTCTATGCTGCCTCTCCTTTACTTTAGCATGAAAATAAGCAAAATTAGAGTCCATCTCCTTTAGCCAAGTTACTTTAGCTCGCTGGGCAATTACGGACAAATTTGCTCTCTCAAGCTTAGTTAATTCACGTTGAAGTTCCTTTTCCTTTGCAGCCAGAGTCTCATCAAATAAAGCATTCTGCATGGAAGCTTGAACATTTTGTAGCTCTGCTGCCATATCTTTTATTCTTCCCTCCAAGTTTCCATATCTATTTTTATGCAGCTGCTTCATCTTCTATTTTACCAATTTCAATTTCTGCACTACAACAAACATAGGGCAGCCCTAAACATCCACACTCCAAGCTTCCCTAACCAAATCAAGGAAGTTTTCATCCTTAGACCAAGCATTGCAAAATCTAAATGGCCTTGGTTTCTCGTTCATCAATACATCCACAGTCACTAAAGAGGGTGAGTGATCTGAGGATTGTGGGTTTAGAAAGACAACATAAGTATTTGGGAATGCACTAACCCATGATGAATTAGCCATTACCCTATCCAGCTTACACCACAGCCTGTCATTTTCCCCTTGCTTATTACTCCAAGTGAAGAAAGCACCTGAAAATTGCAAATCAAAAACCTCCATTCTACTGACAAAATCCTTGAGTTCAGAGGTATCTCCCCAAACAACTCCACTAGGCTTCACCCTTTCACCATAATTTAGAGTTGTATTAAAGTCTCCAGAAATTATCCATGGCACATTTTCAACGTCTAGAGCTCTAACTTGATCCCATAATGCTAGTC